GAGATAAGGACTCTAAACTGAGTACTCTTTGGTGATAATGATCATGATTTGACAGAAAAAAAGAGCAGGAAGGCAAAGGTGGATCTGGAAAAAGGTTTAAAGGTTAAGATCTGAGCAGGGAAAATTTCTGGAATATGGTCAAGGATAGATAGAATTCAAAAAGACAGGATAAGTAGTCAGGCAAACTTGAGATTTCCAAGGGGGGACACTATTTGCTGAGAATAAATTGTTTTTATCTGATTTTCTTTTAGCCCAAAGCCAAAGTTTAGAACATTTGTAATTAACTGCATCTGCCTCATTTATTTAGCAAACTTTATTATTCCACTATGTCCCATACCCTGTGCTCATAACAGAGGTTACAAAGATGAAAGCAGCAATACCCGCCCCAAAGAACTCATTGTGTACCGTGGGGCACAGCCAGATAAGCGATTACGGCAAGGGCTGTAAGAGCAGTATCTGGGGCTGCTGGGTGGAGAGCAATTAAGCTGTCCAAGGCAGAAAACAAAACGTCACAGAAGAAGTCTTGAAATAAAGATTCTATGACAGTTACGACATCCTCATTATTGTCATAACCATAAGCTACCAGTAATAACAATATCCGACATTACTCAATGCTTGTTTTATGCCAGATGCCATGTGAGGCCCTTTACAAGCATCATCATCTGTCATTGCTTAGAATGCTTGCCCTATGCAATACCACCATGCCGTACTTACTTGTGTTTGCACTGTCTATTCAGGGCTAGTCCTAAATGTCACTGCTGCACAACTGGTGAATTATGTTACTTACTAGAACATTGATTCTCCCACTCTTGCTCCCATAATAGTACAGAGGAGAACTGGAATTGACTGCATTTAGTCACAGGCTGAAGCACTGACGTAAGTAGATTTCCATCCCCCACTCTACTGATACCACTTTCCTAGAGTCTCTTAGAGAAACAGAACTCACTGCCTACATAGAACCTGCGCAGGGAGGAACTAAATAGTGGGGGTCTTGCTGGGTTAATGACAGTAGCTGTCCTCAACTGTGCAAAGCCTTAAGCATACAAAGTGTAATGTAAAAGCATTGTTACATTCTTCACAGGAAAACATACGCCCTGCTGTCAAGGTAGTGGCTAGCAATAATAATAATAATAATGACAATAATAGGAACTATGATAAGAATATCCACATTTACCAATCACTTATATTGTAGACTAAATGATTTGCATGTACTAATTGTTTTAAACCTTACGTAGTGTAGATACTATTACTGCCCTCATTTTACAGACAGGAAAAACGAGGTCCAGATATGTGCTTCAATTGGGAAGTTGAATAGCAGGTTGTGCATAGGTAGGGAGCGTTGGATTGCAGTTAGTTCCACTCTGTTCGGGCACTGTTCTTGGGCAAGCCCAACATGAGGAACTCCACTTCAGAGCCTGCCAAATCAATAGTTTCCCAGTGTTTGCAGAATCAAAATTAAGTTCTTTGGCAAGGTCCTCTCCAGTGTGCCCCTTGACTCTTCCCCAACTCAGCACATCCTGGCTCAGGTGTGCTCCATCTGCTCCTGTCATATCACAGCTCTTTATGTACCTGGGCTGTGTCTTACCTCAGTGCCTTTGTGCAATGTTGGCCTGAACTGCCCTTTTCCTTCCTCTTCATTACTGGTTTATCCCAAATTTAGCACCTGTCTCAAGGAGTCACCTTCCCCAGGAAGCTTATCCAGATTCGTTAAGGGCCACTCCAGTTTTCCTCCAATTCTTGACTTTCTTTTATATTTTATAAATCTCTGAATAGAAGACTGTGGACTCACTGAGGCCAGGGGCTGCAGCTTGTTCATTTTATAACCCCAGCATTTAAAAGCCTCTATAGATGTATTTACTGATCTGTAGGAAATAGTTAATGGAATCCTGCAGATGATAACTAAGGCCACAGTTATTATGGCTTCACTAATTTTTGTTGCTATTGGAGTTGTGATTCTCTGTTTATTGTCTTCCTTTATTTGTTTTTCCTCACTGCTCAGCACTTTTAGACATTAAGTACATGGCTTTAACACTAATCAAAATTGATGACTGTGTGACACCTCCATTTTCTATGACAGCACACTTTTGTTCATTGTGCTTTACTTTTGTAATGCGCACCCTCTCAACACCGCCGTAAATCTGTGGTCTTTTCACAAGGATGCCATTTGTTCCTCATATGTCTTAATTCATCACATTTGTGGAAACTGTTCACTAAGACATTTTGCTTGATGAAAATGTCTCTAAATGCACCATAAAGGGGAAAGCACCAGATGTCTGTTTGCAAGTAAAGCACAATCCTGGTTTATGAAGGGCTCCCCAAGCATTTCCAGGCCTGAGGTTTAGCTCTGCACTCTCCTTGGGGTCTCATAACTGGCCCCCACATTCCATTTCAGCCATCATTCTGGAAACACTCATCAACTTTACTGCTGATCTAAGGCCTGGAAACTGTCATCTGTTACTTTCCTCAGATTTGAGCTGAAAATTGAGAAAAACTTGCTGAATAATTTTGATCAAAATAATGTGTGTGTGTGTGTGTGTGCCATCCCGTGATTAACTTATCTTTAATCATTTTATTATGGAATGATTGACATATAAAATGCTGTACATATTTGATATATAAAACTTTGAGTTTGAAGATAACTATGCATGTTGGTGATCAGCTTAACCTTCAGCCCCTCTCCCCTCCCTGGATGTTTGGGGAGGTGAGGTTGAGAAGTCCCAACCCTCTAATTATGCCTTGATCTTTCCTGTCCATCCTCAGACTCTCCAAGAGTCCCCAGATGTCAGTCAACTCATAGTATGCAAGAAGACAGGATTTTAGGAGCTGTATGGTATTCCAAGAAATAGGAGAAAGACCAAATATATATTTCACGATATCACAGGTAGCTTCACTGGCTTTGAGGTAAAACTCAGTTTTTGTTGTGGGCCCAGGCCATGCTGCCCATATAAGAATAACCCAGAGGTAACAAGATCCAATGTGGGGAATCCTGGAGAAACACCCTTATCCAACAAGCCCAGACAACAATTGTGTACTTATATAGCTGAGATGCTTTCAAAGCAACCCAATGTAATACTTCAAGGTGGAATGACAAATATATTAGTCATTTCCCCTTTTTTCCTGTTTTGTGTGCAACCTATTACTAGTGTCAATCAAATTATAACTGCTTTTATAATAGATTACTTATTGCCTATCTTATATCATAAAGCTCTGTGTCTCTCGTCCACGTTTTACTTCCCTCATTTCTTTTGGGGGTGGGGGTTTGAAGTCTTTTTATTAATTTTTTATTTTATTGGTTATGAATATTCATGAGATACAAAGCTGATTGTCACCCCTCGTGCCCGAGATGTGAAGGCCAGATTCATACTGGCAATATGCCCATTACCACAAATTGCATTTGTACCCTATGTCCCACACCCAATTATCCACAACCTCCCTCCCCTTCCCCATTTCTCCCCCACTCCACTTTGTAACCCAAGATATGTTCTCTCCCTCTGCAAGTCCAATGCACTACTGTGGTCTTTCTCTCCTTCCTTCTTTCTCTCTTAGCTCCCACTTATGAGTGAGCACATGCAGTATTTATCCCTCTGTGCTTTGCTTATTTCACTCAACATAAGATTCCCCAGGGTCATCCGTGTTGTTGCAAATGGGAGAATTTCATTCTTTTTTATGGCAGAGTACTATTCCATGATGTATATATACCACAATTTCCTTATCCAATCATCCACCGATGGACATTTAGGTTGGTTCCATGTCTTGGCTATTGTAAACAGAGCTGCAATGAACATGGGAGTACAGGTATCCCTTCGACATGATGATTTCCATTCTTCTGGGTATATACCCAGAAGTGGGATTGCAGGATTGTATGGAAGATCTATCTGTAGTTGTTTGAGAAACCTCCATACTGTTTTCCATAGTGGTTGTACTAATTTACAGTCCCACCAACAGTGCAGGAGCGTTCCCTTCTCTCCACACCCGTGCCAGCATTTGTTATTCACCATCTTTTTGATTTTAGCCAGTCTAACTGGGGTGAGGTGGTATCTGAATGTAGTTTCAATTTGCATTTCCCTGATGACTAGTGATGTTGAGCATTTCTCCACGTACCTGTTGTCCATTTGTATGTCTTCCTTTGAAAAATGTCTATGCAGCTCCTTTGCCCATTTTTTAATTGGGTTATTTGTTCTTTTACTGTGTAATTGCTTGTGTTCCTTGTGTATTATGGGTATTAATCCCTTGTCAGATGCATAGTTAACAAAAATTTTCTCCCACTCGGTAGGTTGTCATTTCACTCTCTTGATTGTTTACTTTGCTGCACAGAAGCTTTTTAGTTTGATATAGTCCCACTTGTTTACTTTTTCTTTTGCTGCTTCTGCTTTTGGGCTCATGTTCATAAAGTCTGTGCCCAGACCTAGTTGCTGAAGTGTTTCACCTATATTTTCCCTTAGTAATTGTACAGTTTTAGGTCTTATACTTAAGTTTTTAATCCATTTGGAGTTGATTTTAGTATGTGGTGAGAGGTACATATCTAGTTTTGTTCTTCTGCATATGGATATCCAGTTTTCCCAGCACCACTTGTTGAAGAGGCAGTCTTTTCCTCAATGTAGATTTTCTAAAGATTGCTCACATGTTTATTTCTAAAAATAAATTCTTTGACTGAACTGGTTTTTATACTGTTTTTTAAAAAATGAATTTGTATTCTTCCTTGTTTTCACAAGCAAGGCTCAAGTTTGGACTCAAATGATATAGAAAGGCTTTTTTTTTTTTTTTTTTCATTATTCCCTACTGTGTCTTGGCATGAGATCAAAGGTAACTAAAACCAGGTTTCCATTTGCTCTGACTTTTATGGTTCTTTTTAGTGGGTAAGGGCAATTTTAACTTAAAAGGGCGGGTGTATTGTGAGGTGACAGGGTCATATTTTATCATTTGAAAATGATGCTGTACAAAGGTCATATCTGATATTTTTTACAGGGATGACTAATGGTTTTCTTCTCTTTCTGTTCCAGCCGCACCAGCTAGCCTTGCCAGAGCGTCCCAGAGTCTGCAAAGAGTTAATTCAGGCCTATGGACAAGTAAGAATTTTAGTCATTTTACTGCCTTCAGTGATGTGTTCCATGTTTTAATATAATTAAACTACTATCTTTTCTCTATTTTATTTGGGATATTGATAATTGGAAGAGTGACTGAATTGAAATTTTACAAGCAAGCAAAATATTTATACTTTAGGATTTATTTTTCAACTTCTCTAAAAGGCTTACTTCTTTATCTTTCTTTTTTGTTTATGCTTGGAGGTTAAGCAAGGCCAAATTCATGAAGGAGGAAAAAAAAGGAAATGATTTATCATGGATCAAAAATTATTTACTGAATTTAGGAAACTGCCTCTTTTTACAAATCCTTTTTAAGATTATTTTTATTATTATTTTGAAGCATTTATCTAATGATTACATTGGTAGAAGGTTAGAGTTGTCTGTCTAACCAAATTTCCTTGGCTTCAAAACTCTGCCTTTGAGTAAACTATCTTTTCTCTTTAAAATGACCTTACACATCACTCCCTTGCCCTTTGATAGTCTTCTCTTCATCCATGAGATTGAACTCAAACATAGACTATGTGGGGAAGCTTCTCCAAATCCTCTAGGCCCAAACAGCTTTTCTGCTTTCTGTGCATCCATGGAACTTTGTCCATTGCTCCATGACACCATTTTCCTCCTAACATTTTAGTGTATTTGTCAGCACTGCACACAGAACACAGGGGATGGTGTGAGCTGCATAACTGAATTAATTATATTGAACTTTAAGGCAAAACGCACATTTTTGCATATATGCTAGAGTCCACATTATGCAATAAAGGAAGGTAGATGGTATACCTAATTGAGTTTAAGCTACTTCTTTTTTGGTTGGTAATTCTGGTGTCATAAAACCATAATTTGGATTTTATGACTAAATTGCAGAGTAAATTTCTAATGTGAGATTTAAACATCATTTTCTTGGAGGTAACCCAAAGGGAGGGTTGGTGCTTTTTTTAACAACTGTCATCCACTCCTCAGTTGTGCCAGACCACAAACCCTTTGCAACCCTCCTGTTTTAGAAGCATCTGACATGTTAATCTCCCTAATTAACACTAGGGGTTATAAAAGGGGTGGCTGTTGAGTTGTGTTTGAGTTGTCCCAGCCAGTAGTTTCTGAAGCGTTCATTCAACAGATGATGTGACCTATTGTTACTTTCCGTAAGGAAATGAGAAGGAGTCAGTTAAGAAAGTTTTACTAATGGTGCATACTTCACGTTAGAACCGTCCTCCACACACAAGCGTAGTACATTGCTCTCCGCTTTTCCCTAAAGTGGTAGGTAGTATGATTTCTCTAAGCCATTTCCTTTGTCAGATCACAGGGTCTGAGGACCCTAAATATTGTGCCTTTTTGAAATATAACCTCAATTTATGGTGGATGTGTTGAATAACTTCCTCCCAGTCATTTGTGGTAAGTTGATTTCCTGTCTTTGTGATACATAAGACAACTCGTTGATTATCATTCACATGTGGTAAACCACATAGACACTGGCCCCCCCACACAAGGAAAGATCCTATCCTTCCAGCTTCTCCTTATTAAAAGTCACCCATCTTCTGCCCCAGGAGTGATGGGACAAAGTAGCCCATGTCAGTGGATATATCAGTATCAATGGGCCCACACAAGGAAAGATCCTATCCTTCCAGCTTCTCCTTATTAAAAGTCACCCATCCTCTGCCCCAGGAGTGATGGGACAAAGTAGCCCATGTCAGTGGATATATCAGTATCAATGGGCACCCGCCATGGTGCACACACTTGAACACGTGGCCACCTTTATCATCACAAGTATCTCATTCAGATGTGACAGACCCAGGTGTTCACATCACCATGCTGTGCTGCTGTGTACATTGTCACTGGATCATAAACACTTAACTCTCTCCTATGCACCCAGCTTTTAGCTCTGCACCCTGAGAGAGAAAGAGTAAGATATTACTCTTGACATCAAGAACCTCCTGACAGCAAGGAGCTCACATAGGTTTACATGAAAAGCTAGCATTCAACATGAAATGTCCTGAGAATACAGTTACAATTTACACGTTTCTTATGTATACTTTTCTAAATTTTCAGATTCAAAACAAAACCTCATGAAAGAAAAATAAAATAAAAACCCTCTCAGGACAAGTCCTAGATAGAAGTGACCAAACATAAATGAAATAAACGCCACCACCTTTCTCCAGGCCACCTCTACTTTATATTTAGGCTACTGGAATAACCCTTTAGTAGCTGTGTACCTCCTCTCTCTTTCCACCCTCTTCCCCATCTCTTCTTCTTTAGATCCGTCTTCCTCTGCCGATAATTTTCTCATGCACTAGGTATACTTAGAGCTCTCCCCACTACCTGAATGTTAAACTGCAGACCTTTCCCAAGACACTGAAAACCACCATGCATGATGTCACCCTAGCTTTTAAGTCTAGACTACTTACTATTCCCCAGACGCACTGTGCTTTTCCTCCTCTGGGACATTGCTGATGTCATCCCATCTTCCAGAACTATCCTCCTTCCATCCCACCCTGCATTTCTGTAAATATAAATTCTGCCCCAAATTTAAGGTTCAAACATTGATACCCTCAGCGGGAAGCAATTCCTCCCTTTTCCAGGCTTGTTTGTGAGAGAGGTCATGATATTCCATACCACTTGTATTAGTCTGCTAGGACTGCCACAACAAAGTACCACCACAGACTGGGTGTCTTAAACAACCGAAATTTACTTTCTCAGAGTTCTCAGATCAAGGAGTTGAGAGCATTAGTTTCTTCTGAAGCCTCTCTCCTTGTATCTTCAATGGTCTTTCCTCTGTAACTGTCTGTAACTTATTCTACTCTTTGTACAAGGACACTAGTCATATTGAATTAAGGTTCATCCTAATGACTACATTTTACTTAATTACCTCTGTAAAGACCTTCTCTCTAAATATAGTCAAATTCTGATGTACTAGGGGTTAGAACATCAACATATGAATTTTGGGGAGGATACAATTCAGCCCATAATGCCACTCTTAAGGAATATATTCAATGCTGCCTTGGAGTATAGACATTTGCATATATCTTATCTCCCTATTTGGATTATTCAGAGTAGTAAATACTCATAGTACCTCAAAGGGTACTTGAACATAATTAGTAATAAATGATGTTGCAAATAAATGAATTAAATGGAAGAATCCTTAATAACACCCTGATTACCCTTCATACTTTGCAATTCCCACCAGCACCCTTTATTACTATGAAGCTTCTCGGCTGCCTGGGGCCATTCATAGAGGATCAGATCTCCCTTTCTGTGTTAATTACACATTATCACCTTAAGTGTTCATTGCTGAAGGGACTCGTAGGAATCAAATGGTTCATTCTCATAGAACATCTTTATTACAGGCAAAGGACATAGTATAGCAATAGTAAAAAGGTAATATGCATTGGCTGGGGTCTCAATATCTCAGTACACAGCATTTTGTTTTCCCACTGCTGGGTCACACATTATCCACCTTGTCTCCAGGTCTGGAACCACTACCCATGTGCCTGCCAAGCACTTTGATATCATAAAGTCCAAATTCTGCCCATGGTGGGTCTCCTATAGTGAGCTGGTCATGTAGGCACAGTCTAGCTATGTGGCCAGCTTAACCATCAGACCCCCAGCCCCCAGGTTCCACCAAAACTAGATACAAGTCATAAATCCAATTATATTACTAAGCAACATTGACAGGTAGATGAATCCTGTCCTGAGACAACTCACAGATCCATACCTACAGAACATCATTTATCTTCAGTTAAATAACCTCAGCAAAGCATCAGTAGCTCTGCAGAGAAGCATAGGGTCAAACCAGATCAGCTAAAATTAACCCATGCTATGAACCACCTAAAGAATCACCCCTTGCTGTCTGTCATCCTCTCTTCCTTCTCTTACTCACCAAAAACTATCTGTCCATTTTCTGAGCCCTCAGGGCTTTGCTCTCTGCTGATGAAAGGGCCAATCCATGTGAATGGGTGTTTCTGTGTTAATGAACACAAGCTAACAAACCTTCCACAGAGTAGATTCTTAAGAAATATTTTCTGGAAAAAGCTGTCTTTGGTTAGCAACCTCATGAGGACCTTTCAGCTTACACACATGGATACTGACATACACCTCTTCTGCAAAGGCCAGCCCAGGGTGAGTAGAGAAGCAAAACACACACTTAAGTAAGAAGGATGCAGAAGGAGTTTACAGTTTAAAGAAATACATCTACATCTTTGTTATATATTAAAGAAGTAATGCTATAAATTTATCATGAAGAAATTTTCTTTTTGTTCCTGGAGAGAATGATAAGGATGATTAAAATCTCCTACAGAAAAACAAAACATTTTTAGTATTCTCAAATAAAGCAGATGCACAGCTAGGGTGCTGTGGTTCCACATTCTTTGTGCTTTTTCAATAATTGTATTTCTCTCTCATGATTAATTATTGGCAGAGGATCTGATGAACATTTGGGCCAAATATATAGGACCTTATTAAATATATATAGAGAGAATTTTTTAGATAATTGCACATCTTTCTGAGGGAGAGTTTTTTCATTTTTAGAAGTCATTCCTTTTCACTGACTTTTTCACATAGTAGTATAAAAGTGTAAATTTTGCGACCAATAACATTTTACTTCAAAATAAAATGAATATGCAACCGGAGCAAAATATTCAAATTTCATTAACTGCCCCTAGCAGCATAAATTAGTCTAGGATTTTCTGAAAATATGTATCTGAACATAAAAATTAATGACTGAGGTGAGAGTTAAGTTTTTAAAGGATTCTAAAAGATTATCATATTAGATGGGCTCAGCAAATGAATGGCTTAAATTTTTTAGAAGTCCACAAATAACTTGCTTCACAATTGTGAGATACTTTCATTTTTCAATACATTTTCATGAGACAAAAATTCAACATTGTAACTTCATCTTGCTTATTTAGGTCCTAATACACTTTCAGCTGGACTCTGGTCTCAGCCTCCTGATTTTTCATCCTATCTCCTACTTTTCCCTATTTTAAGCCTCTCTATTC